CAGTAACAACAGCTTTTTGACAAGTTTAAAGTTTCTTTAAAATACATTCAAAATATTAAAAATAAACTACAAAAAATAATTTGAAGTGCAAATTAAGATATAGTTGTATTTGCAACTGTATTTGATAATGTTTTGAACTTTTAAAATACTGCATGATAGAACTAGAAGCTGCACTTCATATTAGTGACAAACTTTGGTGTTTTTTGATGGGTTACTTTCATTTTTACTTTTCATTTAAAATAAGTTTCCATTTTCAGCAGGTTTCTAAGTTTCTTCTTCTACATATTAAAAAGGTTGTTTAAACATCTTAGTGGCGCACTACTGCTACTAGTGGTGAGAAACTGTATTGCACCTTATTCAAAATCGCTGCTGTCCCACGGCCCTCTGTGGCTCAAAGTTAAAAACGGTTGTACTTATGAGGCACTCATAGGTTAAGAATCTCTGCTCTAAACAACACAGCTAAATCTCTTACAACAAAACCATTTATGAAGCAAACACAGCWGGATAAACTTAAAGTATAAGGACTTGGAYGCGATCAGCCGTACATTGAGAGCAGCAGAAACAGTTTTTTGTCATGGGGCATCATAAGGGGGGAATGAAAAAATGAACCATTGGCAGGAAAGTTGACATTTTAAACTTTAATTAAAAATCGAAACAGGGCTTTAGAGAATTGATACAGTATCGGGAAATGAAATATCGCAATATTTCAGTGTGTCGATATTTTTTTACACTCCTACTCTACACCCCCCGTATGTGATCCGTATCTGACAGTCTGAATGTCACAAATCAGATTTTTTTTTCAAACCAGATCTTGCTCACTCATGGTTTCATTAGGCGTTTCTATTTTTCGCAGCGACATCAGTCTAAACAGCTATGTTGCATTTCATCCCACTTTTACATCATTGTAGGGATGATGGGATATACCTAAATACTGTATTGTTATTGTCAATACTAATGTTGGTATCACCTGATGGACGTTAGTGCGATGAGATCAGTATGAGTTTGTCTCTTATTCTCACTTTCAGTACGTCTCTTCCATCTCAGAAGTGCAATTCTGTGCTGGAATAGGAGCGAAGCAGCCAGACCAAATGTAAACGTTGAACAAGACAAGCATAGCAGATGATAATTATGTCGGCTCTGAATCCCCACCACAATTTACAATTAATACACACATGCTGACGTGTAGCTCAGTGCTACATGTGACATCACGTCCTTTTGCAGATGCGGATCACTACAGGGTCATAGATGACGGATGCATTTAAATTATAACGTGAAGTTCTACGCAAAAAAAATAAAAAAATAGTGCTTGAGTATTAAGACCTGCAGTGTGAATACAGCCTTAGAGAAACTTTGATTCAATGTCAGTTTAGTTGGACCTACATTCAGAATAAAAATAGATCTTGTTACAATCCCATACGCTGCATGTGATTTAAGTTTTCATAAATTCCAGTGTGTCACTGAGTCATGGCTGAATTGGTTATGGCTGTTTCCAGCTCGCCTGGAGGACTGTGTGTAAYGCTGGCTGAGCTCTGTGCCTCTGCAGAGAAAGTCTATTAGTAAAGCTTGGAGTAAATTTAGCTACCATAACAAAGTACTGATTATAGAGAGGCAGTGGATGTGCCGCACGTCACTTATAATCCTTTAATGTTTCCTACAGTGAGCACAGCCCCAGCACCCAAACCGGTGAGTTTAATCTTTTTATTTTTTTCCAAATCATATCTCTTCATTTGACTTTTCAGACGTGTTTTATCAGTGARGTCTTAATACATGATTTTCTCGTGTTACTGCTGTTTAGACAGCCAAAATGTCAAAGAACAAAAAGAAGAAGATGAAGAAGAAGCAAAAGAAGCAGGCAGAACTGCTGGAGAAGAGGATTCAGGAGATGGAGGGAGGAGCTCTGCCTGATGGAGGGGAGGAAGAGGATGATGAGGAGACAGAGGCCAATGAAGATGTATCTTCCTCTGCCACCCTTCCTGTTTCTGCTACACTGCAGGACTTCACTAATCAGTCTAGCACAGGTGAACAAGTAGATCCTGGTCCTACATACAATACAGTAGTAATTCAGGGATGAAGTACTACATTTATTCATGTATAATACTAGAAATTTAACCCTAAAAATCATCCATAAAGTGTGTGTGTGTGTGTGTGTGTGTGTGTGGGGGGGGGGGTAGTGTTTTACACGGGTTATTGATAAGATTTTTTTATGCTTTTTAACCTAAAAAATAATGGATTGTATTATATTTGAGATCGTATTATACATGAATAAATACGGTAAGTTTTTCTTTAACTGTCCAGAAAATTCCCACATACTGAAACATTCAGATAATATCTACATTACCAGTTTGGACACACCTGCCTTTTAGTGCCTTTTCAGTACAAATCTCTAAACTTAAAATTGCTTTTATATTTTAAAAGATAAATTGATGGATGCTAACAGCAGGTAACCTGTAAAACTGTGGCATAGCAATCGATATGTAGCCACAATTAAAGAATATTAATCCTTCATTGAAAATAAATAAAACTGTAAACTATACAACTCTTTAATGCCACAGACTCGACTCCTGATGAGCAGCCCCAACACATGTCTCAGCTACTTGAACCTAAAGAGGCGGCGGTCGTGGAGCAGAACCGAATGGAAGTCAACTGTAATGGCCACGCGTCCTCACCAGAGAGCAAAACCAGTTCAGGGGAACAAGAAACCAAGCAGTCTGCAAAGGAGCTGGAGGACCAACAGAACGCAAACCAACCAGAAAACAACACAGAGACTCAGGATACATTATGTAACAAAGAACAGGAGGAGATCTGTAAAGCTTCATGTGGAGAACCAGAACCAGCTGTGCAGCAGCTCCCTTCATCCCTCAGCTCAGATGATGCTGTGGAACAAAATGAGGGCGAAACGGAGCAAAAGAAGATGGAGGACATGGACACTCAAGGAGAGAGCAAACAAGGGAATGAAGAGGAGGACAGTCAGAGTGGTTTGTACAGAATAAATACTGTTTCTCTCTTTTACTGTTCAGGACAAATCGTCGACTCTTTATCGACGTGTTTAGCAGTTTTACACATATCTGTCCACTTTGATTTTGGCAGACATATAAAATTTGTAATATTATTATTAGAAATTATTTGACTTGGTTTGTTTTTAACACAGCAAACATAACAGTTATAATGCATTACTCTAAAGAAGAGCAACACTGTTTAGCAGATCTTCCTCAGTGTGTGGGCTGTCTGGTTTTCACAGAGCAGGAGCTGAGTGGGCCTTTTCAGAACAGAGGTTGTGGTCATCAGGCTGCTGCATATGGAGGCATCATTTTTCACTTGGGCTCATCACTAAAACCTTTTTTACCATTTGTTTAAATATCTTGTATTTTAGCTTCCTGCTGCAGACTGTAGAAATGTCTCAGCAGATTGATTGGTTGATTGATTGATTGATTGATTGATTGATTGATTGATTGATTGATTGATTGATTGATGTGGTAAAGGGAGTAAAAGATATTTCCTCTTGTCTTTTCTGTTTGCCAGATTCAGCAGGCAGTATGTTAGTCAACCCTCTGGAGCCTCTGAATGCTGACAAGCTGCAGGTTAAGATTGCTGACCTTGGAAAYGCCTGCTGGGTGGTGAGTAAAAACACACAAACCACTAAAACTATTAACTGCTTTAGGCTATGTTCACACTGCGGGCAAAAATGAGCCCAAATTTTTGTTAGTTTTTGTCCATATGTGACCAGTATTAGAATATACTCACATTGCAGGTCTTAATTCTCAGTTCTATTTTTTGCAGAGGTGCTATCTGAATTAAACAAGGATGCTACACTTGCTGACGTGTATGAATCAATTCCAAAGTCGTCCAATCAGAGGCGACTAAATAATAATCTGACATATTTGTTTACATTTGATCCTGACGCTTCCCTGYTATGCCTGCTCTGGTGCATAATTGCTCTTCTGAAAATGGAGCAACGTACAAAAAGTAGAAACAGAGTCAAGTATCGATCCCTTCACGTTGGTCGCAGTGCAATTTCAGGCCAACGCTGGGATCATATGTTGGTGTGTTTTCATTCATGCAGGACATGGCAAATCTAAAAAATAAAKAAAATAAAAAAAGGCAACTGAAYTTATAATCTGTACTGAAGATGARCAGAGCTCCAAGCTTCAAACTGCATGATGTTGGCATTGATAATATCAATACTTGCATTGATCCACATACCTCTTTTTCAGTAAAGAACTGTAGCATAACTGTTTAGAAAACTGTCTCTTTGAAAAATATTTGATATGTTTTTAATTTAATGCCACAAATGAATGTGGAAAATATTGGAATTGTCGCGTTCAGAGTGTCATAAAAAATAATAAATCAAAAATTGGTCACATATGGAGGGAAAAAAACAGGTTTGGGTCACTTTTGACTGCAGCCGTTTGCTTCATAATCTCTTTTCTGTTATTTGTGCAGAACAAACACTTCACAGATGACATCCAGACACGGCAGTACCGTTCGCTCGAGGTTCTGATTGGAGCCGGCTACAGCACACCAGCAGACATTTGGAGCACAGCCTGCATGGTAAAACTCACACACATCTGCTCGAACACACACAGCAAAGGAACAAGTTGTAATCCAGATTAAACACCAAGACGTCACCAACAGACAATAGTTAAATAATTGTGACAATGTCTTTAAAGTCTTTTTCACTTTCACTAAAAACAGTTTCCTCTTTTGTACACAAACTCTTAGAAAGAAAAGTATCAGTACCAGAAACTTTCAAAGTGATTTAAATTTCCTGATAAGTTGTGAACTCCCTGCATACTCAGGAATCTTTCAGTCCAAGCGATGAAGAGCTGCAAACCTCTGAATAATGAAACCAGTTTGTTTAACACCTTATTGTTTGCTTGTTTCCTCAGGCCTTTGAGCTTGCAACAGGAGATTATCTTTTTGAACCCCACTCTGGAGAAGACTACTCCAGAGACGAAGGTCCGTGTTGCCAAAACATCTGATATTGAAAATTACCAAAAGAACCTGAATTAAGAATTAACTAAAAGTTATAAAGATGTCAGAATTAGAATATTAAATGAATAAATACAGGATATTATTGAACATCTTGGTTAGTTTTGATGCATAAATCAGTTGATTTTGGTACTTGTAATTCATGTGTGTTTGTTCCTTACCTCCCTGTAGATCACATAGCGCTCATCATTGAGCTGCTGGGAAAAGTTCCTCGGAAGCTGATCTTGTCGGGCAAATACACCAAGGATTTTTTCACCAAGAAAGGTAAACACACCCGCCCACCGCCAGCTGTCTGCTGCAGCTCCACTTCCACTTTCACTTTCACTTTGAGACTTGCTCAGGTTTTTGGCGGAAAGTTGCTATTTCTGGCGAAACGAGCAGCACCTTGAGGGAACTTGCAAATTAAATCGAGTGCAGCTGTTTCATCTTCTTAGAGGCTGTACAGAGGGTGCATCTATTTTTTTTCTGCTTTGACCCGTTCGTCTGTGTTAATTAGATGTTTTAAACCATATTTCTCCCAGGCGATCTGCGTCACATCACCAAGCTGAAGCCCTGGGGTCTGCTTGACGTGCTGGTAGAAAAGTATGAGTGGTCCAAAGAGGAGGCGCACTGTTTCAGCAGCTTTCTGCTGCCCATGCTGGACCTGGTGCCTGAAAGGAGGGCCACAGCAGCTCAGTGCCTCTCCCATCCATGGCTCACGTCCTAGAGGCCACACGTGCACCCCGCTGCTCTTTATACTTCAAGAATTCATTAGGTTTCCTGAAGAAAACTCACGGTAAACAAGTACGCTCCTGTCTCTAAGAGCCTAATTGTGCCTACACTGTGTTATGTTCCAGCATAGCTACACATTCAGTGGACAGAGAAACTGCAGTCTTGTTATGGTTTTCATGTTTATTTAAATTTAACTCCAGGTATTTACTTTTTTACTCATCTAATAAAACTTTAGCTTTTTTCTTTCAGACTGCTGCTATTTCTCTACTTCTCACTGTTAAAATTGAAATACATGTGCACTTTTTTCTCGTTGCAAATGTAAAAAGCAGAATGCTATCAAAAACAAAATGTCTCAAAGCCACTGACGAGCCAAATCTGCTTCTCAGTCATCGTTTCACGTGTGCCAGTTTTCATACATGTAGCTTAAAATGCTGTGATCGGAGTTCATTTCTGCTTAGTGAGAAACAGACCAAAGCTGAACTCATCACGTTAAAGGTTAAAAACTACAATCCTATTTCTACATTTGTACACAGAGCACCACAAGATCAGAAATCAGATTTTCATACATTCGAGTTGACATGTGATTGTAGGTATTTTTATTTTAAAGTGTCTGAATTAGTTTAAAAGACATTTGTTATAACACAATAAGAACAAATATTGGATTATTTCTTTTCATATTGCATGACCTGGCAGATAATTTACAGGAGTATTTCTTTATTAAGTTACCTGTTTTGAGAGGCTTGTTTTTGTCATCTTGTGTACAGTCATTTTCCAAAGTTACTTTCCAGTTGTTGAACAGATGAAGAAAGTGAAATCTGAAGGGCTTCTAAATGTATTTCTATCGTTTTAAATGCTTTGAAACACCATCGCGCAATAAATGTGCCGGAGTGTTTGAAAAAGGTTGTACTAAGTATAAATAATGACTCATCCCAGATGTGCATTTTTCTAACACAAGTCTCTTTTCTTCATGTCTTCCTTTTACTTTTCTGTGAAAGTATTCAGAATAAACATCGTTTCAAATTTAGTGTTGGCCTCATAAATCACAAGCTTCGTACGTTTTAATACCAGCAGGTTAACTAAGTTCATGTCAGTGATGAAAGTAGATTTTATGTTCATGCCTATTTAGTTGAGGTTAGGAGCTGAGAGGTGGGTTATGAGGAGATCAATGATGAAGGGTAGAAGAAACACTAATTTTGTATTTTTAAACCACATGGGAAAATATGACTAAAAACCCTCTGAATTACCTTTGACTCTTGTGTCATCAAATGAGATTAGAGAAGGATATTTATTTTACTAAATTCTGAAAAAGTCAAAATCAGAATCTTACACATCCATCTTTCTCGATGAATTCATCAAAGCAGAAGATGTTGCATCATATGTAGACATTTTAATAATAATCAGATAATTATAATGGGTTTGGAGACTGCATAGACCAGTGGTGTTAGAGAGCTTTGGCCCTGCATGTTTTAGCTGATTCTGCTTTAACACACCTGATTTGAATGACTGATTAACAAGCTTCTGCAGAATGTGACGACCTGCAGGGAAAAGCTAAAATATGCAGGATAGTGGCCCTCGACCAGGATAGGACACCACTGGCACAAACACTTTGTGGTAAACAAGCACTATATATTAAAAGCTCTATTAAGGTAAAACACTATTAGTGTCCTTGTTAAAACAAACATGGCTGCCTGGAGGTATTGTTTTGTAACTGAATCAACCATTCATGACTTAGCAGCAAAGCTGGGAAACTTGTCGACTTTCAAGTAAAACAGAGAAAACCTTTTTGTCTGATTCAAGTATTTAAAAATATTCTCTGCATGATGAGGCATTTAGTGACTGTTCCACCTAACTCACTTTGAGTCAAAATTTGATTTAAACATATTAATTCACCCCTGGTTTAGACAGTGTCTATAGTGTAAACATAATGACACCATGTTATTAAAATTGAAATAAAATCCTCTTCACACAGATTTTTTCATTTGAAGTCAAGGTTTTTAATGTGATTTTTTTAAATGTCTTATAAAAAAAGTTGCAGCAGTAAATGTCTTATTTAAAACAACTTCTGTGTGATTTCTTTCAGAAATGACAAAAACAAGTATTTAGAATACTCCATTACAAGTTTTAGCTTAAACCTGCAGAAAAGGAGACGTCTGAAGTCAGTGAATCAGAGAAAGGCTGGAATGTTTWATCATTTTCAGATCGTCACCAGGTGTCATGAGTTCTCAGAGCACGTCTGAATCTTGTCGGTCTTCCTGAAAGCCTGAGCCGCATCACTGTTTTCCATCAGGCGTTATCTGTAATCAAGAAAAAAACAAAACATTGGAGTCAGTTTGTTCACTTTGACCTTCAATGACCTGAAATTTCTTCTTCCTGAAAAGTTTTATTAGTTGCGAATATTTTTTCCCTTTTTCAGTCTACTTTTGCATACGTTGTGCCATTTTATACATTCATATAACTAAACATTCAGCTCACTGAGATTAGTGACTAGAGCTGCCACAAACGATTATTTTTATAATTGATTAATCCGATTATTTTTTCGATTAGTCGACTAATCGGATCATATGTTAATTCAATATAAAACATAGAGCTTATCGCTCCAGAATGCAGCTGCTATTATATAACCATGGTTAGATTTTAGCTA